ATTATTTTAAAATTTTATAAAATGTTAATTTAAATTAATAAAAATATATTAAAATTAATAAATTTATATTTTAAAATAAGATGATATGTAAAGTATTATGAAATGAAGTTTTAAATTAAAAAATTTTATCTTTAATTTTCACCATTCATACCAAATTATGAATTTAAAATTTTTAAAATTTTAGTTGGTGAAGCAGTGATAGGAATTCAATGGTAATCATCTCTTCTATTAAATTTGTGAATGAGTTTAGGGTTTACCATTTAAAAAAATATTTATATTTTATTCTATAAAAATTAGGAATTGAATCCTAGACACAGTCAAAGCACAAATTCTATCACCAACATCACTGATGACATAAAAAGGTTTACATTTCTAAGTCATTCAATTCAACATTAAATTTTTATTTTATTTTATTGTCGCATTATACAGGTGAAGCTAGAAGCTAGAAAATTGAGTGAGTGGGGCAAAATTTTTTGTTGATAACTTGTGCAATGAGTGTTTTTTTATACTAACACCAATTAGTTTTTTTTTAGAAGAATTTTTAGTTTGATTGTCTTATTATTGAAACTTTCTTTAAAATCTTAAGAAAATTAAGAAATGAATATATTTTCTTCATTTCATATTTGTAGTAATTTTTTAATTAATAAATAATTTTATTAAAACAAGAAACAATACTCCATTATGATAATGTTTAATCGATAGACCAACTAATTCAAATAACTTTGAAATCTTACTCTTTACCTCCCAAAATGTCTATCGTTTTTTTTTTCTTGATTTGTCTATTAAAAATTATTTTTTTCCATCCCAGAGAACTAAACAATATGAATGAGAGAATATACAATTCAGTACTTAAAATTAAATTGAAATTATTGACTAAATAAAGTCTCAAACTTTTTTGGTCAACAAAAGTTTTTATTAATCAACTTGCTTTTAAAATAAATGAAAAAAAATTAAAAAAAATAAAAATTTAAAACAATTCAAAAACTTAAAGGAAGAAAATCTTTGAGCTTGAGTATAATTAAGAGTCTTGATTTCTAATTTATTCAATATAAAAAATTCGTTTATTTAGATTATAATAAAAATATTATAAATTATATTAATAATAAATTGCTAAGTATGGAAAATTATAAAATTTATAGAAAGTTAAATAAGAAAAATGTAAAGTTTTACATAATAAATATAATATTTAAAAATTTTAAGATGTAAAAAAATAATATTAGTACTAAATTTATAAATTTTCAAAAGTTGAGGGGGACGGCCACCCCCCTCCCTCCGCCCACCATTATTCCATTACATAGCAGAGTTCTGTTTTTTCTCAGTAGGAACCGAACAAATTTATTAAGGTTGATTTCTGTCTGCAGCATGTTGTTGGTTCCTAGCTAAAAACAAAAGAAATAAAAGTAGAGATTTTACACATATAAAGACATTATTTTTTAAAATTTTTTTAATTAAGGTTATTACCTTTAAAAAAATTTTAAATAAAGATATCACATTTTCAATTTTACTATTTAAGGATTAATTGAATGTCAATGTTGACTTGGCAAACAGATTCCATCTATGGGGCACATTAAATTGCTGATGTGTAAAAAATTTGATAGGTGACTGCCCACTTGGAGCTGATTTGAATAATAAAGATTCCCGGTAGAATTCTTAATGAATAGTATTGATACCAAAACATGTGGTGTCGACACCAAACCTGTGTCGGGAATTATTTGTGACTTTTATGAAAAATTAATTAAAATTAAGGTAAAATAAATTAGTAAACAAATCATAAAAAAATTGAAAATTAATTAAAATTAAAGTAAAATAAATTAGTAAACAAATCCTAAAAAAATTGAAGTAACGTATAAAATCCTTCTAAAATAGCTTCTTGACACTACAAGAAAATTCATATTTAGTAACAAAATTATTGATAATTAAATCTTCATTTTTCGTTACAAATTATTATTAGTGATAAAATTTAAACTGTTAGTAAAACCCTTATCACTAATGCTATTAATGACAAATTAGGTACTTGTCACAAAAAATAATCTTATAGTGATAAAAAAAATTGAATATAATAGGTACTTAACGCTTATAATTCATCTTAAAATCCTTCTACTTTTTGTCTACTGTTACACCATACCATAAACATAAATCACAATCTTTAATAAGAGTTTTTGTCCGTTATTGGAGGCACAATTTTCATCCATGGTTTATAGTGTATTAGTCACAAATCAAATCTCTATCTCTTTTCAAAATATTTGGTTATACATTATAATATATTTTTTCTCGAATTAACACGAAACCTCAAAGTGGTAGGCATAAATTTTAAAAAAGCTTTTATATTTAGTAATTTATAGGTGTAGGTAGGAATTTTATTTACTACTGTTTGTGTGGTGGGAGACATGCCATATGTGGTTAGTGTTGGGTTAAAGTGCAAAAACAATGGGAAAAATGTGATTTTTTTTTTATTGATATTATTACAATATTTAAAAGCATGTAAATGTGTAATATCATATTCAAGTAATTTTGTATTTTTTGTCATGCAAGGATTTTGGAAAGTCTAAACAAAGAGACAAAAAAAGAATAATCATAATCTTTAAAGTGAATCCTCCAACTCCTTGTATAGATAATTTTTTTCACAGGCAATAGAATGCTTTACACAAGAAAATCAAAATTTTGAAACATAGACAAGGCATGATGACTTTTTAAAATTTTTATTTTTACTAATAAAATTATTAAAAATTCAGTATGATACATTGAATATATTTTTTATTTAAAATATTTTTATATAATATATCTAAATGATAAATTAATTTTAATAAACCTATATAATGTATCTTATTGTGTTTAAGTAATCTATATATTCATTACCATATTTATGATTTTTCTTTAATTTTATATATATATTTTTTGTTAAAATGAATAAAAGGAAAAGGTTCCTCCGACAATGTTGACACCTATGCTTGTTGTCCAAATCAGCTCCTAATCAGAGCAGCCACCTGTCAATTTTTTGACACATCAACAATTTAGTGGATCCCACAAACGGAATCCGTTTACCAAGTCAGCATTGATATTCAATTAGTCCTTAAATAATAAATTTGAAAATGTGATATCTTTACTTAAAAATTCTTTAAAAATGATAACCTTAATTAGTTTAATAAAAAAATAAAATCTTTAATTAAACAAAATTTTAAAAGTAATGTCCTTATATGTGTAAAATCTCAATAAAACTAGGTCTAAACAACCATCGCAACAGTTGTGTTTCTGTTCTTCACATTTATTTTCCATTTCCATATATTCATCTTCCATTTTCATAAAATCTCAATAAAACTAGGTC